AAATTTTCTTCAAAAATAATAATAAACAATGTCACTTTAGCTGACAATTTTGTTGAAGTCAGAGTTATCCGATGTCAGTAGAATCTTTTTGATTGGTATATCTTTTTCTTCAAAATGGATATCAGAAGTGTCGTAGAATGTAGATAATCACGGATTATTTAATTTTGAATTTCTTTGCTATGACAATATAATGCAGAGACTCATCCGAGCCAAACGAATAAAACTAAATATTAAAATACATCATATATGATGTTCAAACATATTCAATGTTGCACGTTACTGTCCTCAACACAAAAAATGTAGCTGGATTGTTTTAAATAAAACGGAATTACCTAATCACAAGATTTAAATCTAATCAATAGATCGAATCTATAAGTACATCTGCCTATCTGTGTGAAATGGTCTAAACATAGTTCATTTTGAATAAATCTAATGGCTTGATCTTAAAATAGAATTTACTTTCATAGTATCCAATGTATTTGTAGAAAACAATTCTTTTTAGGAATAAGAACAAAATTAAGCAGTATGACGAATTACGTTAAAATATATAGCTTTTTTGCAACTTTAATCCCAAATTTCTCCCGAATCCCGAAAAGTTATATTTTCCATTAAATAATATGTTATTTCGCTAGTGTTCAAACTAATGTACAGAAATTTGTTTAGCATAAAAGTCTGTCAGAAACAATTGCCCTTTTTCTTTGAGTTTGAGAAAAAGTTATTTGTTGTTAAAGTATTGTTAAAATAAAAACTAGACAATTTAATTTTTTAACATTGACTACATCAGATGTAATAATGATTTTAGAGCTAAATCAGAGCCTTTATTATCTTATCGGAAATTCGATAATTAGATTGGTGGTCATCGACGAATTGACGGAAAGAACTGTGTCGAAAATACGGAGTATGCGACCGTCACCGTCTTATTATGTCATTTATGCTAGCACCCAAAAAATGGAAGAACTGTTTAAAACGGTGAGAGATTTATTTGTATCGGTTTTGGTTTTTAATTAATTGTTCCTATATGATAAGATAATTGAATGTTTATATTTTATAAATCTTTAAAACACATTGTGTCTAAGTGTAAACAGATTATAAAGTGGAAACAATTTTTTAGGCCATTGGTGGAGGACTCGTTAGAAGAGAGGGTATTTGGAATTTAGTATTTACAGACAATAATTATCACGAGTTTCGATATATTACCGGTAATCTTCAGATAAATGTTTCATTCACCGTTCTTAATATGAAGACTGACATTTGTTGTCGTTTAATGGGTGACGTGACCTGCAACTGCCCCCAAAATTTTAAGGTCAGTTTCAATAAGATGAAAATTTTTATGGAATTATTCTGCAAATATTTGCTATCTTATACGAAAAAAATGTATTATCCAGCAAATATGAAAGCTGTCATTAATATGTAATTAATGTATTGGCAAATATTGAAGTAAATTCTTTTGTATTTTCTTTTATTATGAAAAATATTCTTTTCCAATAAATGCGTTTATAATCTATAGAGAAGAATTAAAATAATTAAAAAGTTATGTTACGTTAGATATTCCCATATTATTTCAAACGTTTGATCGGCTTGATCGTAAGTTTGATGAGCGATGTTCAAAGGGCGGGTGTAAGTGTAACTCCAAAGACAGGTCAGTGTGATAAACCCGTTAATTCCACTTCAGCTTCGAACATTACAGCGGAAACGTTTAACAAAATTTTAATGACAGTAAGTATTGCCAAAGTGAAATCTGTTAAAAGAATAAAGTCTGTCTAAATCATATTACGTTTATATTAAAGTATTTTTTATTTAGAATTAAACGCAAAGGTAATTAAACATGTGCTTAAATAAGTCTACTTGTCTACGTTCTAGAGATTGGACAGTAACGACACTTTCGAATATTTGACAGAGAAGGCGATGATCACTTACAAGGCAGAAATCGAGTTACAATCGGTTAGTCATGGCTATGTAGATGCGCTCGCAACTTGGACGAGACGTACAAAAATTAAAGAAGCAGACGGGAGGAAAATAGAACCAGCCAGGCGATTCTTCCGGATTGGAACGGCACCGGTAAGAACCACATTTCGCTAAAGCTTCGTTTCGTTGCTTTCTATCAAGAAGAAATAACGTTATACATTTAGACAAGAAATAATTACAAAATGATTATATACTCAAAGTATTTTGTAACGTTAAACGATAATCAGATGCATTGTTAATTTTATCGTTGACTTTATTTAATTTAAAATTAATTTAATAATTAATTATTCTTTTAATCGTATACATAAGTTAATTTATAACTTCATTTATATATGGAGGATAATTCATATAGTTTCCAGAATTATTTTGGTATTTCACCAGTTAATCAAGAGACACGTAAACGCGAGTGTAGCAAAAGTTAATTTAATGTTGTTGTGATTAATCTGGAATAGGCAGTACCATGGACCGTAGTTAAAAAAGACCCAGTGACAGGCCAAGAAATGCGTGACGACGACGGAAAGGAAATCTGGGAAGGTTACTGTATAGATTTTGTGAGAAAATTATCCGAGGAGATGCAGTTCGATTACGATTTTGTTATCCCTGAAGATCACGAGTTTGGCAGAAAATTGCCTAATGGCGAATGGAACGGTCTGATAGGTGATCTGGCTAAAGGAGTATGTCTAACTTTTTCAAAATTTTCTGTTCACATTTAACACGTTTTTCTTTGAATATCACTTTTCTTTCAGTATCACTTTAAATCATTTGCAATTAATTGCTTCAAGAATGCTAAGTTTTGTCCAAATTGATAGAACGCAGGAATTTTTTCTTATTTTGTTTTATTATGTTGTTAGCTGCTTCCCGATATTCTGTTGAAAATCTAGAATGCACTTATACTATAGATTTTTAGCGCTGACAATGTATATCGGAATACAGGTATATACAATTTAGAACACTATTATATATGTTCTATATAGGTACAATGTATAAGCCAGTTTTAACTGTAGTTTCTAATAATTTCTATTATTTTTATTACAATGCAGTTATATAGTTTAATAATTAAAGAAAAATAAAAAAATTATTTAAACTAAAAAATATTTAAACCAGTGCGCAAATGTCAGTATTCGTATATACAATATTTACAGTATTAGCAATAGTTTCGGTCTTCTAAAATTGTACAAATCCGAAAACAATGTAAAATCGACTGCAGCGCCCTCCGCTTTTGTGCGTACTTTAATTCTGTAAAAAAGTTTTTTCAATTCCGTAAAGCCAATTCAAAGTTTTGTGTTCAAAAAAGTGTCGGTAATTACTGCCACTACACCATCCCTTTAAAAGTTTAAGTAACTTTTGACAACATTCTCTGACTATAGCAAGTGTATTTATTTATTAATAGGAAATTGATATTGCTGTGGCGGCATTAACAATGACGTCGGAGCGAGAAGAAGTCATCGATTTTGTTGCACCCTATTTTGAACAGTCCGGTATATTAATCGGTAAGCAATTTAGATCTTTTTTTATAATACAATACGCGTTGTATTTTATATAAATATTACTTGCAAATAAAATAGTAGTGTTTTAACAAACGTTTATGTTCTTTTTTTCAGTAGTGAATAGTACATTCCGATTCTTATTTTATTTGTTTTTCTTTCTTTTTTTCACTTTATGAATACAAGCTCTATTTGAGGCGAAGAGAGGGGGGGGAGGGATTAACTCAAGATGCACGTAGATAATTGAATATGGAACGGATAATTTATGTTAGTTTTTATTTTCAAGTAATGAGAAAGCCAGTCCGTAAAACATCCTTATTTAAGTTCATGACGGTACTAAGACTGGAAGTCTGGCTAAGTATCGTGGGAGCTTTAACTTTGACCGGTATCATGATTTGGATATTAGATAAATATTCACCATACAGTGCAAGAAACAATAAACGACTTTACCCCTATCCTTGTCGGTATGTATCTCATAATATTTTTATTTTTGCTGCCTTATTTTCTCTGTTATACTATATATTACAAACTAACACATGCAGCTATCTCATATATTAAATGTATTTTGTCATATTTAGCGGGACAGTAATTTGACTTTTAATATATCTGAAAATTTTATATTTCTTCTCCCTTCTTGTCGTATCTAACAGGCAGATTCTACTTTTCAGAGAATTCACATTAAAGGAGAGCTTTTGGTTCGCATTGACATCTTTTACGCCGCAGGGCGGTGGCGAAGCTCCAAAAGCGTTATCAAGCAGAACACTGGTTGCAGCTTATTGGCTATTCGTTGTACTGATGCTTGCGACTTTTACCGCAAACTTAGCTGCTTTCCTTACTGTGGAAAGAATGCAGGTATATCTCTCTTATTACACATTATATTTATCGGAGATTTTCTTTTATTTAATTCAGACAGCAGAAATTGCTCAAAATATTGATCTTCTAATAATAAGACATATTATTTCCCCTCGCTCTAACATTCGTGTATGTTTCATTACATAGTCACCTGTGCAATCATTGGAGCAATTGGCAAGGCAATCACGCATAAACTATACCGTTCTAGCCAATTCTAGTGCTCATCAATATTTCATAAACATGAAAAATGCCGAGGATAAGCTTTATACGTGTGTAAAATAAATGTTATTTTTTTTATAAAATATATAGTTAAGATCAACAATATTATGCATATTACTTGCTTGTAGAGTATGGAAAGAAATTACATTAAATAGCACCAGCGATCAAGTAGAATACCGCGTCTGGGATTATCCGATAAAGGAACAATACGGTCATATTTTGCAAGCCATTACTCAAGTCGGACCGGTCAAGACTACCGAGGATGGTTTCAAGAAGGTACATAAAAAAAAAGAAAAATCTTGAGGAATTGTGAGACGCAACAGTAAATATTTAGTTAGAATGCATCCGATATTTTTCAGGTGATAGAAAGCGAAAATGCCGAGTTTGCGTTCATTCATGATTCGTCGGAGATAAAATATGAAGTAACGAAGAACTGCAATTTAACGGAAGTAGGCGAAGTATTTGCCGAGCAACCGTATGCTATTGCCGTGCAGCAAGGCAGTCATTTGCAGGAAGAAATAAGCAGAAAGTCTTTGATCGATTTTTTTCTATTTTTCTGTTGCGCTTAATTCCTTCACTTTCCAATTAAAAGCTTTCAATTATCGTTAACATATTGTAGTTGCGTGTTGTATTTGTATGTTTTATTGCCGTTGAATATTTCTAACTCACAAGTTTTTATACAATTGTAAATACCTATAGTTGACAGATCTAGAATAGCAAATATGATATGTACATACTTATAGTAACAATCTATACAGCAAAAAATTTTTTCATGTATTATAGTTATTAATGATTATATTTGGAGAGAATGGATTATGCAACACAGATTATGCATAAATGTAATATTGTTTTCTCGAAATCGTCATTTTATGCGACAAATGTCCGACATAAATAATATTACTTTCAGGATACTCGATTTACAGAAAGATAGATACTTTGAGACATTGGCAGCCAAGTATTGGAATCAAACGTTGAAAGCCCAATGTCCGAATTCCGATGACAATGAGGGAATTACGTTAGAGAGTTTGGGTTCGTCGTCATTTCTTACCGTTCACTCGTTATCGAGATCTCAACATCTCGGGTACTCGCAACCCGTCGCGTCGCGTAAAAGAGTCACGGTCGGTCTCGCTCCGCGTGTACTTGGCACGAGACACTACCGTGTTTCTTGATACTAAAAATTAGATATTATATAAATATAATATATTAACACAAAAGAAGATATATATACATAAATTTAATTAAAATTATTATTCGAAACAATTGTAATTACAATTTTTCGAATAATAAAATTATTTTTCGAAACAATTATAATAATATTCCAGTTGGCTATTATATTATTATAATATATTTGATATTTATTTTTTCTAATTGACTCAAATTTTATATCTAACTAATATTTTTACATATAGGAGGTGTATTTATTGCGACTTTGTTTGGACTGGCATTAGCGATGATCACTTTGGCCGGTGAAGTTCTTTACTATCGCAAACGCGGCGCTTCTCAGAAAGGAAAGCCGAATGACAAAAGGACGATTAAGGATACCGAGAACGACAAGATCATGCAGAAAATCGCATCGAAGCTTCAAATGAAGCCTGCGCCTACTGACGCACTTTTTGGCAAACAGCTTAGCCACACGCCCCGTGTTTCACACATTTCTGTTTATCCACGGCATTTCCCTAAAGAGTGAACCAAATTTTCACTCGATGATCCATCGTATTACGGACTCGCAAATCATTTCTGGTTAATCCTTATATGTTTTTCAGAGTTTTCTCCTTTTATAATCACTTTTAACACTTAGAATCTATCACAAAAGTCAATAAGTAGATTTTAAGATGAATTAATCGCATTACGATTAGTGTATTTGTCAAAAGTTAGTTGGATTTAGACTATATTGTTTCATTATAAAATCATTGTTAATTAATGAAATATCGTGCAGAAAATTGAATTTAAATGATTGTTTATATTTGTTAAAAATTGTATGACATAAAATTCTCAAAATTATGTTTGAACTGTGTTTCAGTTACACTGATAGATAAATATTATGCTTTGTTATATTAAAATAATTCAATATTAATTAATTGTCACTGATTATGTAATGTCGAATTAGTCCATGTTTTTAATTAAATATAATATATATTTATTAAAAATGGATATACAATATGCTTCTTTTCAAAATGTTTATACCATTCAAAAAATATTAAATAAATATAATTATCCTATTTATTTTTTTTTTTGAGACTATTAAAAATAGAAACAAAGTAATTTTTAGCATTTTAATGTTCTGTGGTGCCTTATCTTTAAATACAGCTCTGTGTCCTTTTTACATTAATCGATTATTCTTATCATTTTACGTACAATTAAAGTACTAAAATTAGAATAGTTTAGAAATAATTTCATGTTTTGTCAAAATCCGAGATACCCAGGAAGAACAGCAAGTCATAATAAAGTCAAAATAACGTTAAAATGATGGTAAAATGATAAAAAATCGTCATTTTGACATTATTTTGACTCCATTGTGACTTAATTGCTGTTCTACCTGAGTAAGGTACGAAACATCTTCTAAAGTCGCCACGGTCTTTCGGGTAATGACCTTAGTTTAGCTTTCACACAGAATAAAATAATAAAGATGACAGATTCGTATAAAGAAAACATTGAAAAGATGGAATGCTCTACCTATCTTTTCATCAAGAAATTCGACAGCGGTATCTCATATACCGCACAAAAGACCTTATAGCAAATACTCAATAACAAATAAAAATTTTATCTTTATAACAGATTTGACGCGAGTAAAGAAGCTTGTATAATGTCTTTTAGGTATAATGTCTTTTAGGTGGTATACTATGTATTTTGACAAACTGTTGCACGGGAATATTTACAATGTTATGCACGGTCAATGATCCACGAATACTTTCACATTGTATATAGCTTTGCTTCTTGAGCATAAGGATAGGCAAAAACGATAATATTCATTTAATTAACAATTTAATATCACTTTTATTTTTTATTATTTTGTTCAAATTTTCGAAAATATTATTTGAGTCTAATCATTTATAGTTTAACATTGCTGATAAATAATAAATCTGTCGTTTCTTAAGCAAATATTCAGTTAATAATAATCGCAAATATTAATTCATATTGATGAATTTATATTTATACAAAAGCGAGATTGTAATTTTTTTATATTATGATACATGATAAATTACTAAAATGTATAATACAATGTAAATGCCTTAAAGCAAACGGTTGTGATTGTGAATTCATTATTAGTAAAAGCCTTGCTCTATCTTTCTTTTTCCATCGCTGTAATTGTACATATCCTATAATCTCATTATTTTCACTGGTTTTCGTCGTGAGCGCCGAGCGCCGAGTTACGTAAATATAAAAGCAAAAGTAGTTTAGGTAATCGGTCGATTGTTTCGATCACTTCGATCGGAGCGCGTCACGGTTGGTGAATTTTTCTAACAAAAGAATAAAGGTTTATGCTATAGGTAGGGAATAAACTGTTATTTACCGCAAGTCAATATAAAGGCTTTCACACGAAGACGCGATCACTTGATGAGAAAGTGATGTAGATCGTGGTTATCCTATTGGAATCGAAAATACAAATCCATTCGCGAGTTCCATAGAAAACGATCGATGGTCTTCGAAAATGGCTTGTTGCAAGGTCAGTGAAAAAAAAAATGTTTGTATGGAATATAGATTCAATATTGCATTTAATTAATTGTATTCGCATAATGACATTTCTTTCGCTTGTACGTGCAATTGTATATATTTTCTTAGATGAAATTGTTTCTTTACATCAATTAATTTATCTCATTATTTTACAAGTATTTTCAATAAAATTGTTAATTTGCAACAAAATATCTTATATTTTATATCAGAATATAATATTTTTCGTAAATGTTCTTTGATAACTTTTATATATAAAATGATTGAGAGATGAGGAGAAGGGAAGAATCAAATTCTATTAAAAAATTATACTATATATAATATAATATAATATAATTAAAGATACAAAATTTGCAGTTGTCTTTTGTCTTATTTTTTTAGACAAAGAAAGTTTTTTCAAAATACTCATCAAACTTATTACCATTAAAATATATATAAAATATAAAATAAGTTATTCGTTTATTGTTCGTAGTGATAAACACTTCAAGCGGGAAAAAGGTACATAAGATTATTTCATAGGATATTTTGCATGTATAATGTCTAGGAATTTATTATTGTTCTACTAAACAAAATGAATATTTTTATTGCTATTATTATTTGAATAAATCAAGTAAATATTTTCTTATACATACATTTGCAGATATATCTAACGTTATCAGCTCTAATTACTTGTCACGTGAGTGCAAATTATGAGTACGAGCGTGCGAAAAGTTTGAGCCCAGAAAGTACATCGCATCCTTGGTATAAGCAGTATGAGGTTTACGAGAGTGCTCCTTCTGAGATTCTGCCTCATTATAATTTTTATGGATTTAAAAATCGACCTGTAGGTTATTCCGGAAGTCCATCTGAACCTTTCCCGATTACTAAGAAAGAACCTATAGAAGAGAAAAACTTGAAAAAGATTCCATTTTATGCGTTCGCTAACAAAGATTCCACGAGGTACAAGGAATTGACTCCTAATTTTGGAGTTGCGCATTGTCAAGAGATTAAGGTGAAATCGGCCGGAAAGAATGGCAAACCAAGGAAAGGCATTACGACTTGCTACAATTGCAAGGATCCCAAAACTAAATCCACATACGAACGTTGTTTATATAGTAGTAATCCAGAAGAGAGCACATCCGCTAATACGAAGGTAGAACGTTATCTATCCGCGCCTGCTGGCTTCAGATATCGAAGGTAATGATATTAAAGTATTCTTCGAACGTACATAAAAATGTCATACTCGACAATTTATTGAAAGTTTATTAAAATTTAATATTTGGATTTAAAAAAACAATTTTATCAATTCAATATTTATGATGCTATAGTTACGTGTTCGAAAAGTCTTATCTCATTCGAAACTTAATTATATATTAAAAAAAAAAAAAGATAAAGGAAAGGTGTCAAGTGCACGGCGTCAATAAGACGTTTGAACTGAAATTTAAAAGAAACTTAATCCACCCAGTTAATTTCTACTATCACTATTATTACTATTATTACTATTATTTACTATCGTAGGTCCAATTTCGAAAGAAATAAAAATAATTATGGACAATTAGGGAGTCCTTACCGGTTCACTGATGAATATTTCACTGATGCCAGTCATGACGTACCGGCTGCGTACAAAAACAAGGGAGAACAATGCGATAAGGTCGTGAAAGATTCCATGGTGTGCATGGTGTGCAAGGATCCTAAGACCAATGGCAAATACGAGCAGTGCTCGTATGTACGGCAGCCACATGAGAAAGCGTACTCCTATGCCAAATCCAGTTCATTTGGAAAACCTCGGGAAAACGATAGCGACGAACGTCCCGAGTCAACTTCTCATTCCGAAGATGACGAGGAGTCTAATGAGCAAACAGATCGTAGTCCGAGTACCGTAGAGCCTCGTGAATACTCTTATCCTACCGAGGATTATTCCGAGAAGGCTTCGACAGTGGATAAACGAGAAGAAGCACAGGATCCTTCAGCAGATTGTAAACAGATAGAAAAGGATTCCAAGACCTGCACGGTTTGCAAGGACCCGAAGACAGGCGGTACTTATGAAAAATGCACGTATAATTATCAACCCAGCGATAAGTTATATAAATACAGCAAATCGAAAAGCTTTGGATATCCGGATAAGAAATCGGAATCCATTCGAGATTTAAACAAGACTCAAACATTGGACAAATCGAAAAATTACGATTATCCGCAAAGCTCCGAGTCTACGCATGATTATTCAGGTAAGTTTTTATTTTATGTTAAATCCTAAATTACATAGTTCAACAAATTTTTTTTAAAGTAATTTATTTTCTCGAATAACATTTCGCGTAATTATTTTAATGTTCACAAGGAAACTTCGCGAACTAAAATAATTTATCAATTATTATTTATGCAAACGGATACAGCTATAGAATAAATTATTCGATTTATAAATTATAGTAATTCTTGACTGCAATGGTATTTTAGAGAATGTATGTATCTACATATGAATTGATTTTACAGAGAAATCGGAACCCTCTACTTATCCACGGAGATCCGACAGAGCCGGAGAAGCTCAAGTCCCGAATGAGTCCGACGGTACATCTCACGATTCATCCGACTACAGTAGCGATTATTCTATTCCCGAAAAATCGAGTGATTATCAATTTCCATCGCGTAACAACGACAACGACCACGAATCTTACGAAAGCCAAAAGACACCTTCCTCAAAACCTGTTTCGGAACATTACTCCGAAAATATCGGCGCGGATAATTGTAAAACGATTCAGAAGGACTCAATGACGTGCAAGGTTTGCAAGGATCCGGAAACGGGCAACGATTTCGAACAGTGTTCGTACTCGTATCAGCCCAGTGACAAGCTTTACTCTTATAGTAAATCCAGCTCGTTTGGCAATCCAAAGAACGACAAATCCGAGCAAACGTCGCACGAAGACGAGCACCCGTCAGACAGTTCCGAGACTACGAAGAAGTCTTACGGCGAATACGTTCCAGGACAAGCTTACGAAGCTTCGACAGCGGATGAAACAAGGTCCAAGGATGATGCGGAAGGCAAGAAAGGAGTGGACGCCGGATACTTGGACACTGTGAAAAAGAAGGCCGAGATCGAGGAGTTCATGCACAACTTTCGAAAGGAGGATCGATCCAAGTGTAAAAAGATCACGCGCGATAAAATGACTTGCTACCAGTGCGTCGACGACGAAGGCTTTCAGAAAGAGGAATGCGCATTTGTCACCGGACGCGAACCTGACAAGGATCAGCTCGTGTTTCACGAGACGAAAGAATTTCAAGTTGATGCCGCACCGTCGCGAAATATTCGCGACTTCAAGCCTACAAGCTCGAGGAAGACGAAGGCGGTAGAGTCTTTGGAGCCTAGCGCGTCAGCTAGCAGAAATACTTATGTTAGACTGGAGAAGCCGGACAATGAATATCCTGACGAAGCGTCGTATACGGCCGCGGCGGAGGAGACGAAGGAGGCCGAACCGTATGATTACACGTCGGAAACAAGAGCTAAATACGACAAGGTCCTTAAATTAACTCTTCCGGCGTACATGTTTAGTACTTCGGAACACGAAGCGGCGTTTGACGAGATCGTAGCTTCCAGCCATAATGATAATTAGGCATTCGTTGGCACTATTATTGCTTCTTCTTATCATTACGTATCCCGTTACCCTTTATCTTCAAATAGGAAATTTCTCGGTACAAGACATTCTACTCCAGCATTTTCATTGCACTTGAGAATGTTAGCATTATATCTTCGTTATCTAGTTTATAGCATTTAGAATTTATTTGAGTATACATGACTTGATATTTATAATTAAACAAATACTTATCGATGCAATGTAATTATTTAGTTTATATAATTATAGCTTGCTAAAGCATTGCATCACGAATTTAATATCGCGATTGCCGTAATTATTTCTAATTAAACATCTAATGGAGTCTGTCGTAATTAGTATAGTCGTAAAAACAGACTTGACGATGCTTGCAAAATATTTTTAAAATTGAAAAATTCTGTGTTTAAAGTTTTCAACTTTTCGTACAAACCTCTCTATCCCCACTTCTTGTTTGCATAAAAATATTCAAAATACAAAATAATTTCATATGGTCCAGAAGCTGTTTTTCTAGTTATAATATTTTATATTCGGAATACATAAAAAATACGGTCTCCAAAAGCCGTGAAAAGAAATTATGGAGCAGTGAAAATTAATCGACAATTTCAAATTGGACTTACGTATGATTCTCTCAAAGATAATTTATACACTCTATATATATGCATTTTTAATATTCATATAATATATATGATGATCTTTGTGGATCAATGACAAGTGGATTGAGATTATTCAGCATACCTGACTGACGGTATCGCGAATAATAGGAAATACGTTGTCTCGTATATATTGCGATCTTAAAATAGACACGAGCTATTTTGGCGAGCAGCGGCGGACGGCCGGCGAGCGGCGAAAGACGGTCGGTCGGCGCGCGGTGGACCAGCGCGCGAGAGCAACGCAATGCGGCGATCAAATCGGTAAAGATGTAAGACCGTGGAGTCACATCGTCAGCTCTTGCGTGCCAGTCTGTAAAGTCACGACGAGGTCTGAGCACCAAGCGAATCGAAGCGACGGTCTGTAGTAGCTGCGGGCGCGCGCTAGTGTCGGCATCGTTGCTGCTCGTATACCTTTTAATATCCGCCTTCTCCTCTCCAACTTTTGGAATCCCAAAAGTAGTATAGAGAACCGGTTTCTCTTTCTCTCTCTTTCTCTTTCTCTCTCTTCCTTTTTCTCCCTCGACTAGTGAGCAGCGGCATAAGCCAGCGTACGGAATCGACAGTCAGTGAATTACGAAATTATTCTGGATATGAACTCTTCGACACTCGTCGGGTAAGATTTTATCATTTATTCCGAATTGCGAATCCGTCGTTGAAACGCGCGCGACTTCTCGACCGGCCTGACATTGCCTTCTTGTACTTTTCAAATCGCTAGAAATAAAAACTTATTCCAACAAGGATGAGTATACGTTGGAGAAGAAAGAAGGAGGAACAATGGGAGTGCTCGCTACGTAAGAGAAATAAAAAAAAAAAAAAAAAAAAATTGTCGGAATAGCGAAGTACTTAAAATTTAGCTGGTCTTACAATTAGTATTAAGTTCAAGCTTATTCCCCAGCACCGAATTGAATTATCCTCAATCTGATACTATAACTAAGTCAAAAATTATTTTATATATATATAATATAATGTTTATATTTTATCTCAAAACACACACATACACATAAAATTGAAAAAGAGACAGACCTCGTGGAAGCAGGAGAGATGGAACTCGTTTTTCGATCGTCTGTATTGAATCGAGCGTCGCAAGGCCAGATCGGCCTTGCCGTGTCGTGTTCCAAGGAGGACACATATTTCACCGTGAAAAAACGAGTGATGCTCGTTCGACGAAAAGATTTGATTTGAAGCGCAGCTTTTTCGCGAGTCGGCGCATTTTTGCGCCCAGTCAGAAAAATGCCTCGCGCGCGCTTCGGCGCACATTTCAGGCAAAAAGAGATATCTCTTTTCTCGGGTAAAGAAAATCGCTTAGATCGGGCTATAAGGATACTCACGATAATAATTTCTCACATTACATAGTATTTTACAATAGTATTTTAATTCTTGTGCAGCTAACGTTTTTAAAGCCCGAGTTTTTCGTCTTCGTTATACTCTTTAGTGAATTTCGAAAAGTCTCTTTATTCGATACGTCGATTGTGAGACGACCACACATTTATCCCGGTGTTAGAAATCCTAAAAATAAAATGATTGTAAGCGTTTTAATATGCGAGGCTCCACTGCGCAAGTCCGCCCGTGCTAAAATTACTCTCGTTCGTGTATCTACCTAAATACACTTCTACTTGCTGCGGCTCATTGGCTGGGTTCCGAGCGTTACGGTGTGGCCGCCATCGGCATGACCGATTTGATTCGCCATGACCGAAACTTTTCCGAGAAACTTACGCTCCAAGCAAACTTTGCACAGTTTGTGACAACATGCCGCGGAAGAGAATAAAAGAAATATTTCAGGCAAAAAATCAGTCTTTTTAAAACAGATTTTTACTAATTATAAGAAGCGATAATATCCACAAAAAGAATGCTAAATTTATTAAAGCAGTAAATTACTGAGATTCCATAAACCTCACGGTGGTTAAAATAAAAAATTAAAAACAAACATTTATTTCTAGTAATCATATTAGTCAGCAATACTTTTTTGATAAAAGTAAGGCCGCGGTATACAGCATATCGCGAGTAGTATATTTATGCCAAAGTAACGTATAGAAGAAGCTGGCAAATTTTCCACGAGAAGCACTATACCTTTTTCAACGAAGCGTCTCTGAATCTGCTGAAATCGCGAGTCACGTGTCGTAATGGTCGTGCCAAGATAAAAACGCCCGCGCTCCGACACAGTATTAGATTCGACTCCAAAATTCTATTATTAAAATTTTCAGCTTCTTCTATTCATTGCTAAAGAAGAGTTTTCCTTGATTCGTGAATGAATTATTTGCATAGTCATATGTAACTATCAATGAAATTAATGTATTCTGCATATTATTCGCTTTCAATACTTTGTAATTTGAATTTTATGTTAGACTCTTTATCTGATATCTTGTTGATAAATTTGCATATAAAAAACTATCTAAACACATGTTTTACTATTCCCAGACGTATAAATATACATACGTGTTAAATTATTATAAAAACATTTTTTATCATTATCGCTCCGATTTTATCGTATTTCTTTGAAAGGATTTATTATTTTAAGACTTAACACGATTTTACTCAGAAATCACACTGAGTTTACAGTATAAAAATAAATCGACAAAATATACATAATTTCGGGTCTAAAGAAGGTTTTCAATGAAATTGCCTATATTTAATTCGCAATCTTTTTTTACCTTATTTTTCGTATATGTGAAATTTTGAAAATTTTTTTGTAACTTTTTCTCTTAATTCTTCAACAGTAATATTGTCGATGGTGTATAACGACCTACATTTACACAACTGTAAGATACTTTCTGATCGCACTACGATTTCTCAGTAGTCAATGTTGTTTAATCCTTTTAAAGGTATGTCTGACCGTATTATCCTAAAAGACATTTTAATCAGCTTTCGTCGAATTGCACGTAGTTTTCGATCGATAGAAGAAACATGAATGACTAATCAAATATTTTTTCATCAATTTCGTCAATTTAATTATCGCGGCGGTTTCACACATAGGAAACAAAAGCGCCGGCAAATCTTGCTATTATCATGCAAATTAATGATTTTATGAAGTAATTAAAGATTTGTTTGTAAACTCTCAAATTCAATTGTTTGAAAATTCAAACGCAATTAATTACTACAATTTGTATAAATCATGTTAAATTATATATTAAATTTGTACGTATATATGAAACCTGAATGTACGTACGTGCGCAAAGCATGAATACACACAAGATGATTCATCTTTCAAGTAGTTGCATTCCAGTGATAAGATAGCACTGTCTCATGCGAATGAATAAGAGTGGATTAATTATTCATTCCAAATACGAGAAAAAAAACATCACGAGAAAACGATTTTCATTTTATCTGAATGTATTTTATAGTCTGCATTTTATATATTGCGTAGGAAGCAGATTTTAGCCTATTTTTAAATTATAGTAAAATTACAAGTTGTGTTACACAAAAAAAAATATTATCACGCACTGTATAATACTATAAAATTATATTTTTATTTTGTAAAAAAAATGTATTTAAATTATACGAAATAATTCGGAAACTGGATTTATGTAGTAAAAATATTGATTTGAAGAGGCTATTTTATGATACATTTGATATATCTGTCTATTCAGAAGTGAACTTTATGTTAAAGTGAACTCTTCATTATATCTTTAGCTAAAAAAACATATTACGTAACTTATACTTTATTCAAATTATAATAAATTGTTTAATTTTTATTTACAGAAATCCGAATGTCATGGTCGCAGGTATGTACACAAGTCTTCTTTCTATGATAGAAAGAAATAAATATATATTCTTTATATCAGAATTGAAAGTGCTATATTCACAAATGATAGATAATAGTTTTCACGTAGCAAATACAATGGTAAAAAATAATAAAATTAACTATATTGACACGTTAAGCATTAGTAAAGTTACATTTACTAATTGTAAGTTTACACTAGAGCAAAGTCAATTAATTACATCGCTTCTTTAATCATATTGTGTACTATCCCTAATCTATAGCATGATTTCAGGGCCACCTCCACCGCCACCTCCTCCACCTCCCGTGCCTGGTCAATTACCGGCTATGAGGATAAACACTGCCCAAGTAAGATAAAATTATTAAATATATAATTTTTGCAAAACAAATATATTATAATATTGAAATTTGTACTATTGAAATCCCTGAATATTACCAAAGTATTTATTCAAATAGCTATTTTTTATTTTTATTATATTTATAGTTAAAATCAAGTTGTTTAGAAGAGATAAGAAGCACTCGACAGCTCATTGCTAAACATGCGAACATGAAAAGCAATAATTATTAAGCAAAATCAAACCAAAAGTTGAAATTAAATCTAAACACTAACGTAGTTCGTTATATATCATCGAAATGATCACAAAAATTCCAAATTCTATATACGTGAAAAAAGATTGCAAATTATATGAATAATTTCAATAGAATCTTCCCTCAAACTTAGGCCCAGTTTCACAAACGTCGGTTAACTTCTAACTTAAGGTTAAAAGTTAATTGATGTTTGTGGAATTAGGCCTTAGACTTGTTTGTCTAACAATAAAATTGAAATTATGTAAATATGTTGATATTTGAATTTAAATCTGTTGTTAACGTAATGTATTTGGTAACAGTAAAAATTTAGTTATATTGCCTAACTATTAGCTAATAACTTATCCGATGACACTGTTCGATTCGGAACACACAGAATGCAACAGTAAAGAAGCCGCAAGTGGTTAGCAACGATGTTTATGAGCCGCCAGCAGCCATCCAGAATGCCATGCTAACGAAGGATAAGAAACCCTTCACTTATACCCCGGGTATGGGTGGCAAATTAGATCTCTCGCAGATTCGCAGTCCACGAATGGCGAGAAGAGTGGCGAAGAATGCTAATGACGAAGGTATAGAGGGACCACCAAAATCTGCTATCGAGCAACCAAAGCAATCGCCCGCAATTTCGCCCGCAGCGAATCTCTTAGTGCCTCAGGTCGCGGTACCTGTTTTTCCTTGCAATGTGCCACCTCAGCCTCCCAATAGGATGTCACAATCACCTTCAGTCAATAGAACATTGTCGAACGGTAATTATTCATTTATGTCTTTTCTCCCATCTCTTTCATTGAAAATGATTGTACGATATACGGAGTGTCTCACAATACTATAATAACGGCGGCGTGTTCCGAATGTCAATTAATGTATCAAAAATTTTAAAACAAAGATCAGTCAAAGTCACGATCAGATTTGAGTTATAAATGATCGGTGATGCAGCGTAATATATATGCGCATTCAGGTAAAAAACAAACTTGAAAACAAAATATTATACAATATTATACATTACACATATCATGCAAATGTATAATGACAATTTTGATCAGTTTATAATTCGCGAAATCTATTATGATATTGTTTCTTCTATTAGGATTTTCTATACCAATCGCTATTTCATGGAACCACTCTATACATATTTAATGAAATTATAATGAAAGTAAGAAGTATTTAAATGGTTTTCCTATAGCTGTAGACAAGCAAGCGGAACCAGCAAGGAACATTATGAAAGTGGATACGAAAGTAGTGCCAGTCGCAGTCACGTCGAGTCAGTCGAGCACTCCTGAAAGTCCGAGCACCCCGACCCAAGTTACTTTAGCTAAAGCTCCTACACCTTGGCTGCAAAATAAAAACAAGCCCCAAGAAGAATTGCCCGAATGGGCTAAACGCACGAATGGCAATAAAACGGTTGGCAACGATCTTTCAGAGGACGTAGTTTCTCCGGTTTACGTTCAAGTTCAGCAACTGTCTCCGCAATGTTCGCAACCGAAACAAAAGCAAGAGCAAAAGCAATATTCGATTCCGCAGCATCAACAAACGAGACCGCAACAGTTACCTCAACAGCCGCAGCAGCAGAGGCGGAATGCCGAACCTGTAATGTCACCCCAAACTAATTCGCAATCGCAACACGAACGCGTTGTACCCATCCGAGTAAGTTGAAGGATAAAGTTAATTTCTTGCGTATGCCTACCATCTCTCTCTCTCTCTCTCTCTCTCTCTCTCTCTCTCTCTCTTTCTAAAATACATTTACTTTTCTAAAATATATCCATTATTTTTTTTAACGCTACGATATTCTTTAGATCGATGATAGACCATCGGTATTTGATGCGAAGCGTGAATCTGGTCATCATCAGTTTAAACAGCCTCCAACTGTGCATCATCAGCAACGATGGGGTCAAGTGCCCGCGCAACATACAGTGGAGAATCAAACGCAGAATTATCCGCAGAATCAAAAACAGCCTCAGATTTATGCCACATCTCGGCCAGAACAACCGGTTGGAACAACTTATATTATCCCCCTTGTAGTGGAAGGTAGCGAGAAGAGAACGATGCCACCAAATATAGCAGCAAGAGTGTAAGTTGATTATTAAAGAAGAATAAATATGTACTTCGATATACTATATGATAAACTTGACATATGCACAATCAAGCCTATTTTATCAAGTATCGCGTGGCACTAGTTTTAACCAACGCATATCTTTAAATTAAAATTATTAATCTGTCTCAATCCTAACTTATTCCTTTATCCGTTAACAAGAATATCCACATAGCTGAGGATGAGTACCTTAAAGTTTATATTTATCTAAAAAATAATTTCAAATAAGTCACGTTTCAAAAAACTTTTAACGAATTTGTCGCTCATGTATTTGTAACGTTTGCAATTTTATTTTGATTATTAATTACAAGTGTAATTCTTGGGACAGGGTGCAACAGCGGAGTCCCGATATTAATCAACAACAGGAGCCTGGCCCGATTCAATCGCGATCATTTCGTGTCCTTCAAAAAATTACGGACACGGATGAATTCAATGATGTTGGTTCAGAACAAATACGTAAAATGGAATTAAGCGAAGATGAAAAACTACTCATGAGTAAATTTAAAGAACAAGGTAGAATAATATTATTTATTCGTCTATTATTTTGATTCTTTGTTATATCCGTATTTAATGATATATCAATATACGTAACGTACATGGAAAGATTTTCGTTAAATAATAATGCTAACTATATATCAATAACGTTAAGTATTTTTTAAAAGATAATTTATTTAACTTTTCAAATTAAATCATCGCTTAAAAATATTTATATTGTATTTTACAGTCGATCATGAGACTTATCTCCATCAAGAGAAAGATCCGAGATATCGTGGTGCGGCAATACCTTCACGAGCTTTCCGTTTTTTACAAAATATGACAGAAGCGAATGATAACTCAGTTTGCGCTGGTAAGATTGTTTTATATGCAGAATATTTCTGTTAAAAAATTTTACTTTTATGCTGAATTTCACCAATCTTGTTTCTTAAATCAATCAAACCTGATGCCTAAATAATATAAAGATTAGATATAGCAAATATAAACAATAGGAGCATTTTATATGTTACAGCGCCACATAATGTACAAAACGTTGCGAATAAGAGGCAAAATAGAAATTCTAAGTCGTTCGGTAAGTACGCGTAAAAACAAGTTTTGCAAGTTTTTCTCAACTCGATAAAAATAATTGAAATATAATAAATTTGGCTTGCGATAATTCTTCTACAGAAGAGATACAGGCAAACTTGCCACCTAGTGAACAACAAGTACCAGAACCGAAGAAATACACGGGTAGTGCAATTCCTTCTCGATCCTTCAGGATATTACAAGCGATGACAGCATCGGAAAACGATGGTAAATATGCTAAATTGAAACATTTATCTTTTACAAAGTTATCTTTGTTTATAAAATATTTTTGAAAAATTATGGATATTCCTCAAATAGTTTCTTTTGCACTTTTATTTATACAAGATGAGGTCCAAAGTTCCAGTTTTCGAAAAGTATTTACGTTATTTTATAACCTTTTTACGTGATATTTAACATATATTATACAAATTAATAATTTATCTTTGACATACACATTCTTTGTTCATAAATTAATTGTAGAAGCTTATTTATCTGTGTACATTAATATATCATAATAAGTGCTTTATATTCTAATTACTACTTTATTGACATAACATACGTCACATTTCTCAAATTTCCCAATCCTGTGTTCACAGGAATAATAAAATTCTCTTGGCTACTGATAAATATATTTATATATGTACACATACATCTACGCACTCACGCACGCACGCACGCACGTACGCACGCACGCATACACACACGCACGCACACATACACACACACAGCAGACTAAGCAAAGTGTTACACAGATTAATATCTGAGAAACTGCTAAATAAAAATAATGTGATAAATATGATGGCAACTCGAAGATCTTTTAAATGTACTACAATTGATTTCTGAAAACTTTCTTGGGAAGAGGGGGAGCAATATATTGATAATTTTAAATAGTATCTATTTTAAAAAGAATTATAAAGAAACTAAGCAACTTTTACTTGAAATAATTTTTTCTAAAAACACCAATTAAAAGTTATCGGCCTTAATAATTAAGAATTTATTGATAGTAGGATCGGTTGATTATAGATATAAAATTAAATTGTTTTTTGCTTCATAAAAAAAATCCTAAGAGCAAAAGTTTAGGTGAACGTAAAAACTACTGAACAAGTCTTATTGTTCAATTCATTATTTATCAAATTGAGTATCTATGAACGCGTGTATAATTTTAGCAAAATTATTGGATAAATCCTTATGGTTACTAGTCCTTTAAGGTCAGAGAAAAAGAGAGAGACAGAGAGAGAGAAAGAGAGAGAGAGAGAGAGAGAGAGAGAGAGAGAGAGAGAGAGAGAGAGAGA